TTGAGAGATATTTGTGATCATTCTAATATTTCTTTAAGATTTCTTATTATTTCTTTGAAATTTCTTCAAGGTTTCTTTGAATTTGATTAAAGTTTACTTAGCATTATTATGGTCTAATTAAAGCATTTTTAGTAATATATTAGAATTGATATTTTGTCGTTGTAATTTCCATTCTACCTTCCACAGTCAGGTGCTCGGAGCATTCTCAAGCAAGACTTCATGTATTACGACAACGTATTGCAACTCCACTTAGAAATGAGGCCCTTTGTTGTTTGCCTTGAATACAACCTTCACAAGCAAGTATCATAGCATTGTGGCTTATATGACCAAGATTTAAGCCACACACCATGGATTGAAGCTCCTTCATGTTCTTGGCATTCAAATGATGAAGGCATCAATGCCAAATACCACACTTGTCTTGATCTTGAGGAAATTCAGCAAATGCCGCCACTTCAACTCTATTCACCTTCTTACACTTGATGAAGTAGAGGTTGCCATCTCTAAAGCCTTTTGTAATATGATCTCTCTCCAATGTCTTCACAAAACACCCATTCTTATCAAATTGTACTTTATAACCATATGAAACAAGTTTACTCACCAAGAGGAGGTTTTTCTTCATCTTTAGTACATATAAGACGTCCTTCAATCTGATCCTCTTGATTTGGCCTTTCACAATAATCTCTATAACAATGGAGCCCATTCCAATAGCTTGTACTATACTATTGTCTCCCATGAAGATATTTGCTATTGAAATCTCTTCATAAGTGTCAAATGAATACTTATATGGAGTTATGTGCTTGGTGGCACCAGAATCAATGATCCAATTAGACATGGCAGCCATGGAAGTGCCTTCACTTGCCATGAATGCATAATCATCACCTCCATATTCATCACAAGCACTATTTGTACTTTCTTTATCTTCTTTCTTAGCCTTGTAGCAATTTCGAGCAAAGTGACCTAGTTTTTCACAAATGAAGCAAGTTCTCACATTGCCACGTTGGTTAGAATGACTTTCCTTGCCTTTTCTTGAAAAGAAAGCCGAATCCTTACTTCGGGGCTCTTTTTCTTTCCTCTTAGTCACTTCATGGGCAAATCTTGTCGTCACGTAATCCATTGTGAGTTCTTTTATCTTGATGGACTCCAATGCCACAATGAAGTAGTTGTAGGACTCGAGAAGGCTCATAAGTAAGGTCATGACAATATTACTCTCTTCTAAAGGCTTATCGACAATTACAAGTTGATTAGCAATCGCCTTTACCTTATTGACATGAGCCATGAGGTCTTCACCTTCTTCCATCTTGCAAATGAAGAATTTCCTCCTTGTGAAGATGATATTGAACAAGTTCTTGCTCTCATATATGTTGCAAAGAGTCTTCCATGCTTCTGCTCGTTTTTTGCAAGAGATGATGTGAAAAAAGTTGGCTTCATCCAAATTCATGGCAATCATGTCAAAAGCCTTCTTTTCACATCTTATAAAGTCCTTCCTCTCTTTAGCATCAGCATGCATGCTTGGAGGCTCTTCACTTTCATCTACAATATCCCAAAGGTCCAAAGATGCCAACAAAAGCTCCATTTTGACCTTCCAATGGTAGAAATTGTCACCTCTAAACTTCTCAATCACTCTCAAACTTTCATCCTCACTTGAAGCCATGTCTTAGAAGAGGTCTATCAAAAAATATCAAAAAAAGGAGTCTCTATGTGTTTAAAATCACCAAAATAATTTTACACTAGCAAAATCTCAAAATGCCTTCTTGTGAACAAATGAATGTTTCTTCACTCCAAACACTCCCAAATCAACTTTTGAAACTTCTAACAAGTATGTGAACTCCAATCAATCTCACCATTAAGTTCTTCTACTCATAAAACTCACTTTCTCACCACAAATTTAAAAGACACTATCAAGGTCTTTATATAAGCTCTTAATCACTCAATCCTAGGAGTTAAGAACCTTCAAACTGATGTTAGAGATCTATAAGGCCCAAATTAGAACCTCCACAAGTCAAAACACAAGATTATACCATACAATCTCTAACATCAACAAACACCATAAGATCTATTCCACACAAGAAGAATAACCAATAAATGACTTCAACTTACTTGAATAGCACAACAAAGTATGTGTGGGACCATAACCTATTGAAGAAACACAATAAGCAAGACACAAGTAAATAGAAGACATTAAGGTTAGAGACAAGAGAAGTGTAGAATGAGATGCCTCTCACTTCCAACACCCTTTATTTATAGGTAGAGGTTACATCTATTTTGGCTAGCATTCATCTTACTTTCATCCAACTAAACCTTAGATTCATCTTAACTTAGCCGCCACCTATAACCCTAGCCGCCACCTTGATAACTTTCTTTCATCCTTTTGCTGCCCTTTGACCATTAGAAACTTATCTAAGATAATATCTTTTATCTTTTAACTTATCCGCCATTTACTTTAACATTGCAAAGCAAAAAGCATTAATTGTGGGCAAGAGCACTTAGAATAGAAGAATGGATTGCCAAGAAGAAATAAATTCAAAAAGAAAGATTAATATACAAAAAGAGTTCCGGAAAAAGAAGTTAGTCAATGTCGTGTTGTAACACGACTATATGGTAAAAGATGATAATATGGATCTTATTATAGAAGAGCCAAGTTAAAAGAAAAAATAGAAAAATATGGATAAAAGATAGGAAGATAATAAAACTTTTAGTAGTAATGCTGCTTTTTTTAAAAAAATAGCTTCTACTTATTTTGTAGGGCCAAAAATAAGGCAAAATAAAGTAGATTGAAAAAATAAATGATATAGACATCTTTAAGAGGAAGTTAAGAGTAAATTCTAGTAAAAAATACTTAGAAAAACTAGATGTTGATACCGAGAGAGGGCCGGTTATGAACCAGGATCGAAATCAGACCTTGAGGCACAAAACTAAGTCTCGACGACGACTATGAGACTCTTTGGCAAATCGGAGAGTGGGATTCGATAGAAGATTAGGTAGGGTTTCTATGAGCATTAATTTTGGGTGATTTGGATCTATATTGACTTTGTAAGAGCTTTGCAAAGTCAAGGTTTTGTTTTGGATGACTTGGATTTTGTGAAATAAAATAGGGTTTATATTTAGGGTGGTTTCAAGAGTTTTGAAATAGATCTACAAGTGAAATTTTTTGGATCAATGGTTATAGTTGTTTTCAATATGTATTGTGAATTTGAGCTCGATGTAACAATTGAATTGAGGATTATTGAGGTTTAAGTGAGTCAATATCTCAGAAAGTTGAATTTAAGATCTAGTGAGGATTTTTAAGATTTCTTGCAATGTACTAGTTGGATTGGAGTGAAATTTGTGTGAGAGGATATTAGACTTATTTTTCTATATATATGACAATTTTGAGATCAATCAAATGGTGAAAAGGAGAGATATTGGCTTAGGGAGATTGGCATCAAGGTTGGAGGAGGAGGCCAGCCAATACCCGAGTACGTTTTTGAAGTTATCATCTATTCGGTAATTTCGATCCCTTTCAAAAATTGTGTGCTTGTTTTCAACTTAGTTTTTAAGAAGTGTGCAGAATTTGAATTAAGATCAACGGTTCATTCATTAGTTATTGAGGTTTAATTTTGTTATAGAAATTACTAGGGTTTTTTTAGGGTTTGGTTTAGGGCTTAGGATTTGTTTTAGGATTTAGGATTTGATTTAGGATTTAGGGTTTGTTTAGGGTTTGGTTAGGATTTGGTTAGAGTTTGGTTAGGATTTGGTTTAGGATTTAAGATTTGATTTAGGATATAGGGTTTGATTTAGGAATTAAGATTTTATTAGGGTTTGTTTAAGATTTAAGATTTAATTAGTTTTGGCCTAAAGTTTGAATGAAGTCCAATAGGATTTTAACTAAGATTAAATTAAGATTGAATTGAGATGTATTTGAGAGATATTTGTGATCATTCTAATATTTTTTTTAAGATTTCTTATTGTTTCTTTGAAATTTCTTTAAGGTTTCTTTGAATTTGATTAAAGCTTGCTTAGCATTTTTAAGGTCTAATTAAAGCATTTTTAGTATTCTATTAGAATTAGGATTTTGTTGTTGCAATTTCCATTCTACCTTCCACAATCAGGTGCCCGGAGCATTCTCAAGCAAGACTTCACGTATTATGATACGACACCAAAAGTTAAATGCAATGAAAGAAGAGAGGTGTTGTAATACACACCTAATGTGTAATTGATCCCTGCATGTGTGCAAGCAATACCAATATATTCATGTTCTCTAGAGGCCAAGTTTTCGAAACAAAAGGGAGCACTTCTTTGGGAGTCTCAAAAGATATTCCTACAATTATTGCACAACTAGGCATCCAACTTGCAACTTGCACTCTTAACCATAGGGAGCACTTCCTTGGAAGCCTCAAAAGATATTCCTACAATTATTGCACAGCGAGGCATCCAACTTGCACTCTTAACCTTATAACTGCAAAGAATGAAGTTATGTTGCTCGATTTTCTAGTCCCATCTATTGTCGGCTATGAGAAGGTGGAACACTCTTTTGCGATCGAAGAGAACTTCAGGTCAGGGCTGTTATTCAAGATTAAAGCCTCTCTGTCTCATGTTGAAAAAACAAATAAATGCTAGTGGGTGCAGTGTGGCAGAGGGATGAGTGTTGAGGTATGAGACCAGCCAAGTCACAAGGAGCTATTGTGTTCACGTTTGGAGCGCTGTACCAGGAAGATTGGATGTGTTCGCATCCTCTGCAAGTCATTCTCTACGTAGGATTATTTGGGTGCTCTCAGGATCAGAATATGATTTGCTGGCTAGCCAAGAGCTCTTCAGACAGTTTTCAGTACTGACAGAAGATTAGATATATTCACCAATAGCAGGTAGTTGCCATCTTCTAGTGATCATTCCCATTCCATTCTTCTCCAATTTCAGATCACTTTGACTTGTTAACTAGGTGACTGGAATCTCCCATTGATCTGGACCACAACAGGATTTGAGATACTATTTCAGCGTTTTCATTACCATCCAACAATTCCATGAAGAAATTTGAATTCTTTTTTTTATTGCCACATTGTTTTGCACAATCACCACAATGCCTGACAACAGCAGCAATCTGACTCACAACATTCCTCAATCTGAACCCTTCCATTGTTGCTCGCAAACGAAGGTAGTCTTATTCTGACTATGGGGTACCCAAAACGGCAGATCTATCAACGACAAGCCGTGGCACCGAACTCCTCACTCAACACATATCCGTCTTTCTTACTTATTGAAAGCTTTGGAATAGCATCACTATTCGCTCATGTCGCTCACATTTCAAAAACCTCGCAGCACTGTGGGCGGTGCTGAGTTTGCAGCCTGTGATTTTGGGCAAAAATGGTGTTTGACTGAAACCCACCATTTTTGCCCACAACATTTTGCATCCTGCCATTCAGTTATCAGCACCGTAGGTCGGTGCCAGGGTCGACGCCCAATGAATTGCAGAAGTTGGTGTAGTACGTAACTCGATTCGTTACTCTCTCGTCGTTTACAAGGCCGCACTCTTTCGCTCCATTGATTATCCGAATGGTTTTTCCGAAACTGGGAGGAGGACCGATGATTGCTTGGTGGCACTGATTGGCCATCCAAAACCAGAGGGCCGTCTTGAACGCCACATCGGCATCAGTCTCTACCAACTCTGGAGTGGCGAGGAGTGGCAAGTTCAGAGCAGCTCCACATGCACCGTAGTTGTAGTTCCATGACAGCTGAATGGGACCACGCCCATAATAGGACTTACCAGCGGCGCAAGGGTATTGGGTGTTGGTCGTGTCGCAGTATATTTCAGTAGGGTTAGTCTCTCTGACGAATTTCAAGCCTGCACCCAAGTATACTATGATTTAGATGCTAAGTTACGAAGAAAAAAAAAGAGGTGCCCGAAAACCCTGCTGTAGCAAGCGACCACAAAATGTAAGCATTCTCTATATATTCGGTCATTTCTCGAGCTACGTGAGAAAACTACTGTGCTGAGAAAACACCAATAGCCAACAGGATATATCACCTCCAGATTCTTGGTTGACGTTTCCGAAAAAGGCAGCGATCTCTCGCTTCTGGTCATCCACAGATCCTTCGTTACCGAACGTCGGGTAAGCGGACGCTGCAGCCTTGAAACGCTCAAAGGTGTAAAAATCAGCATTGCGGGAAGGGAACCACCCGTCGAAAACTTCTTCGGTGAAGAAGCTCGACCAACCTGAACCTGAGGTTGGAGGTTCAGGCGCAGGAGGTGTACCACCAGCGTTGCAGGGACCATTCTTGCAACCTTCACCACAATAGGCGTCGCCAGTTCCACAATAATTATACTGGCTACAGCACATGGTATTGTCGGGACAGGCTGTGGATTCCGAACACTCCCCTTGAGACGCAACAAATCGGACCAATGCTACCAGAGCTACAACCACAAACGCGGCAACATGGTGCTGGTGCCCCACACTAGTCCCTGTAGTTCTTCCCATTGTTGCAAAAATACCACGCGCTGGAGCTGGAGAGTGTGAACAAGAGTGTTGAAGAGTTATGATTATATAGCGAAAGCCGCCGCGATTTGTGTGCGATAAAGCCTACCCCATGGAATTGGTAAGTTTGAATTTGCAGTTGCTGATGTATGCTGAGGGTTGTCCGTAATGGATGACGTATGGACTGAAAAGTCCGCGCACGTTCTTACAAGTGAATCAGGGACATGTTCCATGTTCCATGGGCGACTGGTTACACCCAGAGAATATCTTGCAGGACAAAAACGGTGATGGCAATTCCAGATGACGAGTCAAATTGCCCAATCGGTTTCATCCGCACCGATTCAGTGTTAACGAAGTGAGGACAGTGGAGCCAGGATCCTTCTGCTTGCATTTTTCTCGAAGTACATTCTCCAGGTGGACTCAGTCGAGATCAGGCTTTCGGTAACGTGAATGAACATCTGCTGAGGTTCAAAAGTTTGAAGTGGAACTGCAACCCTGTATTTTTCGGGTGGTACAGAATGGAATTTGAAGAGCATTCAATTAGATCGATGGAAAGCAGTCCAGCTAGTTGTCCAGATAATTGCATATTGCTTAAATTTCTAAACTGTCATCTTAAACCCTCAACGCCTAAACCTCAAATTCTAACCCTTAAAAATTCAACTCCTTCATCTAAACTCCTGCCCTTAAACCTTAATCACAAATACAATATGTAAAATAAAAATAAAATAAAAAATGTGTATTTATTTTTTCCTGGACAGTAGACAGTAATTAATAGTCTGTCGAAAACAGATGAAAGTCCAGGAGACGTCAATCCCTTGGTATGTCCAACTGGTACTTTTTCAGGAAGAGTGGCATGTGATCTTTTCAGGAATACTACGCTCCTCCCTAAGTGCAGCCTGTTTCAATCCAGTTGCCTCGTCATCAGAGTGTGCAATTAACTTTCTTTTATGTATGTAGCAGGTGGAGCCTATGATCACAACAACAAGTAGTTCTTGGTGTTGAGATCATTAAATGTAGCTGGCGCTCTCCATAAATTTACTGTAGCTACAGTATTTAGAGTCTAGTGGAGTACTGTTTATCCTCTCCCCTTTTCTCTTCTTGTATAAGAGACACAACCAGATCAATAGATTTTTATGTGTGAATCCTCTCTCTCCTTAGAAACCCTTCCGCTTTTCTCTTCTTGTATACCAGACACAATCAGATCAATAGATTTTTATGTGTGATTCTCTCTCCTTAGAAACCCTTTTGTGTGTATGACTTACTACTACTCTTGTGTGTGTGTATTACTTACTATTACTCTTACTCTTGTGTCTTTCTAAACATTCTCAACACTTGGGAAGGCAATCTGATGTATCCAGTTATGGACAAGAAAAAATCTCGACAGCCTCATCTATTTTCTGCTTTTTCCCTCTATCATTTAATTTTTTCAAAAATAACAGATGAAGACTTGTGTCGAATTCGTTCCTTGATGTGTGGGTCAGAGCTGACCTATTGACCGCCACAAAATTGACTACATACACAGTGTTTATCTATATATATATGTCCTCATAAATACTACGACATGGGCAGCCAGTACGCTTACGAATTGATGGTTTAGAGGAGGCCTTCTCTCATTAAACCATCGCAGCTCTTCGTTAAATATCACGACACAGTCAGCTGAACATTCCGATGCAGTTCGTGAGGTGAAAGAAACATCTGCACCCATAGAAGTCTTTTATCGACAGACCCACGTTTACCGACTAAGGAGTCTAGGCGCCAATCGTCCTCCCTATTATTGAACCTTACGTAAAGCTGTCCAAGATATCCAACAAACACTCATTACTTTGGGGTTGCGCGTGTGTCTAGACAGAGACCACCACACACGAGACAACAATCTTACCATATTACCCAGTTGTGGATTTGGCGAAATAAATCTGGTACTGATTTGCAGACTCTCTGGTAGCCTGAGGACCCATCTTCGAATAGCATATTCCAGGCATAAACTGAGCTTACTGGCATGTATATAAAGAATGAAGCATGCAATTTTAAATTTAAAAAACAAAACAATAAGAAATAATTAATTAACACATACGAAGTAAACTCATTGTATTGATAAGGGGAACGAGAAGCAACCGTCATAAAAACAGTACCCAACTTACTGGGCAAGCATAAGATGCAGAAATTTGAAGGATATTAGTACAAGTTATCCATCTTGACAAGTTGCCTTTGGCACATAGTCAACACTATTTTGCATAACATCATAGTTTTATCTTTTATTTTTATTTTTATTCTTTTTTTATTTAGAATGTTGTTAGTTATTTACAATTTATTATATTAATTAAAAAATCTTGGTTTCTAGTCAAGTTTTTTTATTTCTTTTTTCTTTTTTCTTTTCTTTTCTTCACATAATGTTCTTATATTAAATTAATTATTTTCAAAAGAATCTTTATGATTTTTTTATCAAAACATATTTAAGCTTTAAAGTTCTTAGTATCCTATTCAATTTTTATGTTTTATAAACATTTATCTCTAAATAATGTCCATGTAACTTTAAGTTGTTTAAACCTTGATGGAAGGTTTATTGGAAAAACAATTTGTTTCTAGAGTAATATATCATATGATCTCATACTTTTTGGATTAAAAAAAAATATTGCATATAAGTAAGGTTGCTTAGTATTATAAATTTTTAACTCAGAAATACTTCCAAAACTAATTTAAGATGGAATTTTTTATATTTTGTATAATAAAGTTAGAACCAATTTAATAAACTTCTATCAATTGTAGATTTTTATGCATTTATTTTTATACTCTTATGCCAAATGAGCCACATCAATATGTCTTTTTTTTTGTGCCTTGAACTTAAACCATATATCTTTCTAAGCAAATTTAAAGTCTTGATTTAAAATCTCATTCTATTTCAAGATAGATAGATTCTATACAATTTTTGATGATTTTAAGAGATTTTTACAAAAAGAATTCTATAAGTTATTATTTTGTTATTAAAATTTATTCATTCAAAGTTAGAATATTCTTTCAAAGTAAAAAATTAGTCCTAGTTGAGATTTCCTTTATTTTGATTTTTTAATGATTATTTTTTGCTAATTACTATTTAAAATTAAGTATCTATCTAAAAAATATTTATTTTATTTTTAACCAATTCTTATAATCTAGCATATTAAATAGACCAATCTAATTTTTTTATAAGGAGATGAAATTTCTTAATATAAAACAGTTATCTAATTGGTCAAATAAAAAAGATAAGTAGTTTTAGAACCTCATGTAATTAGAAAGTATGAAAACTATTTCACCATTTATCTATCTTATTTAAGTTCTTTAATTTAAAAAACCATTTCTGTTATAGTAACAAAGCCTAGGTCACGTTATAACTCTTTCTATGTCTATAATTTCTACATCTTTATTTTTTTTCTTTGTAATTAATTTTTTAAGCCATCTTGGTTTATAGTAAATTATATAAATCTTTGTATTAGAAATTGAAAATTTAGGACTTAATTTTTATAATAATTTTTTTGATATTAATTAAATAGCAATTTAAAAATACAATGTAATAATAATATTTGTATAAATTTTTTTCTTCCTTGCAACATCCAGATTTATACAAAATTTGTATACATATATATATATATATATATATGAAATAAAAGGTATTTATTATTTATTTTTAATAAAATTTTAAATAAAATATTATTTGATAGACCATTATATCTATAGCTGTTTTTCTAATGTAGCCTATATTTTATACTTTTTTATAAAAGAGCCAAAAACATAGTCTATATGATTTTTAATTTAATATCTATTTTTTTTAATAATATTATTAATATTAGAAACATATTCTTTTTGTCCTTATATTTTAAGATTTAAAGATAATCTCATCACTTGAAGTAAATATCATATATTATTTGATTTTTTTACAATCTTTTTATTTATAATTCTAAATATTTTCTTTATATATATATAATTTTATTATATTTTAAACATATTCCATATTTTCTCTTTATTTTAGCTAATATGTTGCCAAAAAATAAAGATTTATCCATTGGATACTTTGTCATATTTTAATTGCAACCAAACATCTATCGAAATTTATCTTAAAAATATACTATATTAATGTATAGTATGCTCTACTTGTAATAGCTATTATAAGTCAATATATTGCTCCTAACTAAATTTTTAAAAATATTTTAAATTAAATTAATCAAATATATTTATATACTAACAACTATACATTTTAAAATACAATCTTGAATTTAAGGATTATATATAAATATGTTGTTTTGGTATATATCTTGTTAGGATCTTTTAAATAGATATCATAAACATACATATTATTCTAATAATTATCTATATAATTAGATAGAAGTAGATCAAAGTAGATTAATTTCTTGATATCTTTCAAAGAAGCTTTCTAAAAGCTTTATAGATGCAGTTTTCACTTTACAAATGTTGATAGTTGATTGGTAGATTAGAAACTTGGTAAATAAGTTAACCACTTAGTACACATATTGGTAGCTTATGGAACATGTTAATTATGTGGTACACATATGTCTTGCAAAGTCAATATGTATTAGAGGTTCTATAGAACATTTCCACATAGCTCTTAATTAGATCGTATATATAGAGGTAAGAGTGAAGTCTTCTTTACTCTTGTTAATACCTTTCTAGTCTTTAGTCTTTTTTCAAGACTTTTTAGTCTTTTCGTCTTTAACAATAGCCATTCTAATTGAATATATTACCATCTTTGAGAAAATTCTTAGTCTTTTTGAGTGAAACAAGAGTATATTGAGATTCTCTTTTATGGAGACTCATATTCTTAACAAAAGCATAGATTTGCTTTAAAGATATAAGTATATATTTGCATCTGCAAAGTCTTCTTATTATTAAAAATTAGAATTTTTAATTTAAGTATAATACCTATAAGGTCAAATAATTTTTAATTAGTAAATTATAAGTTTGAATATTATTATTCTAAATTATACTTCTTCTCAAGAATGAGGTTAATATATGATCATTTATTTAATAAAATTTTATTCTATTTTTCATATAATAATCCATGAAA